TTAAAATGAAACAACTCTAATATAATTTCAAGCGTCAACAGCCACTTACAAGTACCAATCTCAATTGAAACTGAAACAATTATTAAGAAACAAAAATTATTCCGATTGAAACGCAGCTCCAACATTATCCATCTTCTGCGCAATCATTTGGAAATATTCGTCGCTGCTCGAAACAGAATTTCAAGAAATCAATATCCCTATAATAAAATATTTCCACCGCATGGCACGCCTGAGCATCTATTTCAAAAATCTTTTCACCGAGCGAACACACGCGTAGACGAGACCACGTACTTTGATACACTCGTAATTACGCATCTTGTGCGATGCACCCGACCGTGAAAGTGCACATTTCATACGCGAAATTTTTTCTATCGAGTTGTCTGCGGTAGCTCGGAGCCTCGCATTCTCGCCCTTTTTGTCCGTTCACTCTTTCCCAACCCTTTCCCCTTCGCTCTCGCGCATTCTTTTTTCCTTTTCCTCTTTCGTTCTTTTCTTTTTTTTTTTTGTCTCTTTTTTTCCTTTCCTGTTCGCCTGACCTCGATCGCCGTGGTCGTTGGACCGCAGATTCCTTTTTTCAATTTTAATCCACCGCCGATGGCCAGTCGATGGCAAAAAGGGGCGAGCAACGGCCCGATTTCTCTGATCGAGATCTCGCGATCTCCCGTGAAAATTGTCTTCATTAGGCGGCTCGCGCGAAGCCCGCGTCGAGTTCGATTTTTTTAATGGAAAAAGGAAAGCGAGATCCGTGCGTACGCTCGGATATATTCCGTGGGAAATGATAGTAATTATCACTGGATAGTAAAATTCCAGCGTACGTTTTGATTAATTTTTTATGACATCTTATCGTCGGATTGGTAGTTTATTATCATACCATGAGAAAATTAACGAATAATTCCACGTTTCGTGGAACTGAGATCTCCGTTTTTATAATAGTTTTTCAATATCAAAAATTGCTTCAAGTAACTACTTTAGAACATTTTTTCCTTTTTAAAGAAATCAAAAGTTTAATAATTGAAATTAAACTTTCAAAGTGATTAAAATAAGATAATTATAACAGAGGGTGTAACTTGGACGTTACATGCCCGTATGTTCACATTTTGAAAATGTGTCTGTTTTATCATCGATATGATATTAGAAAAATAATAAGCATAAAACTCGTATCCGTCAGTCGGATTATATAAAATAAAATAAATTATAAATAATATACAATAATATAAAATACATGAAAGTATATATACAATATAAAATAATATATATATATATACACACACACAATATAAAATAATAATAATATAAAATAACATAGTATATATGAAAATATATAAATAATACAAAATAATATAAAATATATGAAAATATATAAATAATACAAAATAATGTAAAATATATGAAAATATATAAATAATACAAAATAATATAAAATATATGAAAATATATAAATAATACAAAATAATATAAAATATATGAAAATATATAAATAATATAAAATAATATAAAATATATGAAAATATATAAATAATACAAAATAATATAAAATATATGAAAATATATAAATAATACAAAATAATATAAAATATATGAAAATATATAAATAATATAAAATAATAGAAACTATATGAAAATATATAAATAATATAAAATAATATAAACATATAAAATGAAATAATAATATTAAAAAATATTAATCAATGCCGGTAATTCCCGTAGAAGCTAATTTCACTATCAAACGCCCGCCGAGTCGCAACTCGTTTCAAGCACGCGTGCACATATCCTATGTATGCATCAAACATAATCCCTGAACGCCTCTAATTTCCTCAAAATCCACCGGCCCCCCTTTTCGCCCACCGGTAGTTCACCTTTAACATCAATTACCCGGAATCCATATACACATGTGAACGCGGCGTAAGATCCGACTGGAAATCGAAACCACGTTGCTGCAAACAACATCAGGGGGCGAAAGGGGGACTAAAGTCGATGATCGCGGGCAACGGATAATTGCTCGGTGAAAGGAAAAGCCGCGACAGGCAGCGAGAGATCGTGGCAAACGATTCGACCCAACGATGGATCCCATTTCCCGTAACGGGCTAACAGCTTTGCTTTTCCAGCTGGAACAATCGGACCCTTCTTGGCAGAGGGCTGATACCGCATGGTAACGGCCGCATAACTGTCACGGCGTGGTACGGTTCACGGTGAAAGATCGCGCGTGACTAGACGCATCTGCGCGACCATAAACGCTATCTGGCCGCTGCTCCTGTTGTGCTCCTTCCACGAGGATTATTTACCATGCCTCGAGATCGTCCTTTTGTCAAGAAATATGGGATTGTTGAGAGAGTGCCAAAGTCTGACATGTTTGTTTGAAGTTTGACGATGCTTTAACTCTTGATTAGCTGGATCATCGATAGATCGCTAAATGCTGAAAGTTGCAAAAAATTTATGCACGCACGTCGCTCAATTTTGGAATTTAAGTTTGGTTCAACACTTACGTTTAATTTAATAACTTTTCAATAATTTTCAATTTTCATTCTTTTCGACCACCACGTCGTTTTCACTGCAAGTATTCTAACAGAAATTATGCATTTATATATATTTTTATTTTTTATTATTATTGAAAGGTTTATTAATATTATCTAGCCACTGTGGTTGTTTTTTCGACGTTCCATTTGATTATTTTTAGCATATTTCGAGACTATTCTTTTGTCAAGAAATATGGGATTGTTGAGAGAGTGTCAAAGTCTGACATGTTTGTTTGAAGTTTGACGATGCTTTAACTCTTGATTAGCTGGATCATCGATAGATCGCTAAATGCTGAAAGTTGCAAAAAATTTATGCACGCACGTCGCTCAATTTTGGAATTTAAGTTTGGTTCAACACTTACGTTTAATTTAATAACTTTTCAATAATTCTCAATTTTCATTCTTTTCGACCTCCACGTCGTTTTCACTGCAAGTATTCTAACAGAAATTATGCATTTATATATATTTTTATTTTTTATTGTTATTGAAAGGTTTATTAATATTATCTAGCCACTGTGGTTGTTTTTTCGACGTTCCACTTGATTATTTTTAGCATATTTCGAGACTATTCTTTTGTCAAGAAATATGGGATTGTTGAGAGAGTGCCAAAGTCTGACGTGTTTGTTTGAAGTTTGACGATGCTTTAACTCTTGATTAGCTGGATCATCGATAGATCGCTAAATGCTGAAAGTTGCAAAAAATTTATGCACGCACGTCGCTCAATTTTGGAATTTAAGTTTGGTTCAACACTTACGTTTAATTTAATAACTTTTCAATAATTTTCAATTTTCATTCTTTTCGACCACCACGTCGTTTTCACTGCAAGTATTCTAACAGAAATTATGCATTTATATATATTTTTATTTTTTATTATTATTGAAAGGTTTATTAATATTATCTAGCCACTGTGGTTGTTTTTTCGACGTTCCATTTGATTATTTTTAGCATATTTCGAGACTATTCTTTTGTCAAGAAATATGGGATTGTTGAGAGAGTGCCAAAGTCTGACGTGTTTGTTTGAAGTTTGACGATGCTTTAACTCTTGATTAGCTGGATCATCGATAGATCGCTAAATGCTGAAAGTTGCAAAAAATTTATGCACGCACGTCGCTCAATTTTGGAATTTAAGTTTGGTTCAACACTTACGTTTAATTTAATAACTTTTCAATAATTTTCAATTTTCATTCTTTTCGACCACCACGTCGTTTTCACTGCAAGTATTCTAACAGAAATTATGCATTTATATATATTTTTATTTTTTATTATTATTGAAAGGTTTATTAATATTATCTAGCCACTGTGATTGTTTTTTCGACGTTCCACTTGATTATTTTTACCATATTTCGAGACTATTCTTTTGTTAGGAAATGTGGGATTGTTGAGAGAGTGTCAAAGTCTGACGTGTTTGAAGTTTGACGATGCTTTAACTCTACTACTAGAAGCTATAAAAATTTATGTTTCACACTACTTAATTTTGATTTAATTTTTAATTTTAATTAATTTGATTTGTAATTAATTTAATTATTATTTCCACACCATTTTCATTGCAAGCACACTAACAGAATAAACTATATATTTATATATTTTTATCTTTCATTAAGAAAATTACTATTCAGTAGTCCTAACCATTACAAACCGAAATGTTTATTTCACTGTTACAGTCTAGTGAAAAATTTTGACATTTAAAACGTAATTTTTAGAGATTCAGTACAAATAATTTTCAATAACTTAACAAAAAGTTATTGAAACTACTTCAACTGACTAAAATACGTTCGTAATTTATCGACTTCTTCGATAATTTTTGCTTCCAAAATTAATGAGAAATTCGGTCGATTGTCTACGAAACACACGTGGCCGATTTGCATTTGAAATCCGCCATAGTGTAACAAAAGTAATAAATATGATATTATTGGCTTCGTTAACGAAGTATGTCGTATGCAATTTGAATGTAACGTCGAAATAATTGCACTGTTTAACGAATGCCGAACCGATTTGTCGTTAATAAACGGAGAACGCACGAACAAATGTTTACGAGTGCCTGTTCTACGATGTTTATGAGCGTTATCAATTTCAATTATTGCCTCGTTCAAATCAGAAACGAGAATACAGGAAATGTGTTTTGGCTATAAATGGTTAAAAAATTGATTAAAACTACTTAGAACAGAATGGTCAAAATGACCAGTTTATAATTTTTGTTAGACGTTTTATAGATTTAAATAATCTCTCATATAAATAAAAGTTTGTACAGTTTCATTGTATTATAAACAAATGTGAATTTTTCTAACTTTTAGTCAATTTCCATAAAATTCACTCTCTTGCAATGTTAGCTGCCTCGAGTATTATATTTTACAATATTTTATTCTTAGAAGAATTTTTATCGTGAATGCACATTTTTTTTCTTTTTTTTTTTTTTTTTTTTACACTGAGTTCTAAAACCTGAATACGTTGCACGAATGAACAACTTTTTCCCTCGCGCTTGTATGTTCGTTCTTTTCTTTTCTCTTTTTTCACACTTTTGTATAGCATGGATGCGTGTCGAAGATCTGAAAGAACAGGGCAGTGGTCGGGACAATCCCGCGGCAAATCGTTTCCCCTTCCCATATAAAACCCCCGTATATCTTTTCTTTGGCCTAATTGGATCTCTGCTCTCCGACTTTCTCTCCAAGCTCTTCCCTCGTTCAAACGATCACTTTCGATCGAATGAAAGATACGAAGGAAAGAACGAAAAAGACCGAGACGGAAAAACAAGTTGGTCGCCTTGAATTTGAGAACAACGTTTTCTCAATGGTGGAATCATTGTGTCTTCCAAGAATGCGAACCGACTCTCCCCCCCCAAAAAAATTTACCCTCTCCCTCTCTTACTGGTAATATTGCACATTCGCTGATCGAAACGCGTGGAAACGCGAACGAAACGAAATCAAGAAAAGACGCGAAGAAGCCTGGCACACTGCCCTGTGTCCAGCCGCGTGGTTCTATCTACGTCTTAACTATCTCCGTTCTCCTTTTCTTTTCTTTTCTTTTCTTTTCTTTCCCCTTTTTTTCGCAACTCTTCGCATTCGTTCCACCTCCACTCTTATAAAACCTGAACAAGAGAATATCATCGTTATCAATATCGTACGAATATAATATATGTACAGTTCAAAATATTACTTTTAAAGAGTTAAAAATATAGTCTGTAATTTGCGCGCACGACGGACCTGTACACGGTTTCTTTTTCTCTTCTTTTTCTTCTTCATCATCTTCCTCTTCTCAAGAGCTGATGATTATCTAATCTTCTACTTGCACTTTTTTTCTTTTCTAACGCCTCTCCTCCCTCCCCTCCCCTCCCCCCTCTCTCCCCATCGTCTCCTTCGTCTCTCTTTTGCCTTCCTTTTCATCCGTTTATCCTGCTCTGCGCACCATACCTTCGTACTTCGATAAAAATTTCGCACGGAAATCTAATTCCTTTCCCCGCTCCAAGACCTCTCTTCGTTTCGCCCTCGCCTGCCCGGTTTCCCGAAATTTGAGCACATTTTATTTTTTGTATAGACTTTGTAATTGAATTTCACTTAGGCCTAAGACTCTCGGGGCCACGATTTCGAAGAGTCGATTTCAGAGTTTCGATTTCAAACCCTTCCTCTCTCGTCCTAAAGACGCGCGCGTGCTAAACTACCGACAGAGACGTACAAGCAAACCCACGCACACTCGCTCCTCGAACGAGACAGTCTTCGCGATTCGAAACCATTGAAGAAATGCTTCGTCCAGCACGGTTACTAGAAGACGATATTTGTAAATTGACATGATTTCTGGGATCGATTCGAGAGAGTCGGCAGACACGCGTACATCGCATAGGCAAAGCTTCCAGCAACGGACGTCTGACTAATTTCGATTTGCTCTACTTGATCACTGACTCTCTTTAATATTCTCTTGTTTAACCGTAAGTGGATCTTCTAAATTCGTAAATTGAAACGAGGGAAGAGGTCAGCGCCTCTCGAAACGTTGATTTTGAAAGTTATCACTATCATCCTCGCAGCAGAACTGTAAGAATGAGTTCTTGAACTTTTAGCGTGCGGAGAATTAGCCGAGATCGTAAACGAACAATTGTTTTGTTATTTTTCTCACACTCAGGTTGCACACGACAGGAGAAACGCGAAACTTTGCCTCTGCGATACGTTGCCCGATGCGACCTCCCCATTTGAACCAGTCCCTCGACGAAACGAGCGTTTCAATGCGTTAGTCGCTGCGTCCAAGACCTTGGTCAAGCCCCGACGCAGTGGAATGTATATCTCGGCACTCTCGAAAATTTTCGCGAAGCTACGTGTCTGGGTCGATTCTTTCCTTTTTCTTCTTTAGATTCGGTCGCAGTCTTGGCTCGGGGGGAACTGGAAAATTCACGGTACGCGAAGCTGATTCCTCGATGGAGGAGCGCGAGGGGGAGGAAGCCATCAAGGAGGAGCCATTCTCTCTTCCTCCCTCGAATCTCCGAACTTTCACGGAACAAACGAGAGTAACTTCTCTCGAAACTAACTTCTCTCGGATGTGATTTCCCTCGAAATCGGTGGCGACCTTCCCGAGTGGCGACGAAGACGCCGAGCAACTTGCTTCGAGCCTCGCGGAAGACGCCGAACGGTAGCTTCTTTCGAAGCGTCGAACTGGATGGCGACGAGCAGGTGACGCGTCGCGTTTCGCGCTGCCTTGGTCCGCGAGGATCGGCGACGGTGGATCGCGCGGAGACGAGAAGGCGGACGATGAGGATGATGAGCACGACGATGCTGAGAGTCCGGGAGGACGGGGTGACTGTGTAAGACGGTTCCGACATTTTCATTGCGGCTGCTGTTGCATCTGTGCCTGCTGCATGCTGCCAAGAACGTTCTTGATCGCCGTTGTCTTCAGCAGCCTCTTCAGCATGCCGCTGCTGCCGCGGTGCTGCAGGCTCTTGTGCGTGGTGAGCGAGTTCTTCGTACGGTACCTGCGGTTGCAGAACTCGCACACGTAGAGGGTGTCCGATTGCTCGTGCTTATCCTGGAAATGACGCTTCAGGGAGTAGTAGCACGAGAAGTTGCGACGGCAGTACGGGCATTCCTGAGGCTCGTTTATGCCACCGGCCGTGGGCGGTGGCATCCGGTACATGGCAGAGGGAGGCGTCGACGGTGCTGGATGCATCCCGTTGCCCGTACCTGAAAATCGTCCATCGTTCGTCAGAATAAATCTCGCAGCTGTGGTAATCGCGCGGCAGTGCATCGTCACCGCGTGAGAACAGTTTTAGCGTGATTTAGTTGAAGTTACGGGAGTTCGGGCGAAGAAAATAAGGAGGCAGCTCTAGGATTTTCAATTGTCGCACGAGTTCTTTCCAAACTCGCAGGAGTTTGGAACTATCAAAACGATCAGTTTGTAATTCTTTATGAATGCTAAACAGTGTACTTTTAAAGATTCGAATGATGATACCGATCGTTGTCGGTAGTTCTAGCGTTAACAGCGTGGAATTTCGAGAACATAGAACAGTTTGAGTCTCTTTGAGAGAGAAACGAAGAGTCAGGGATTTACTAGGGTAAAGAGAAAATTGCAGGTTTCGTGTTCTAGTAAATTATTATTCCAGCCTTGGTTCCAAAGGACTTCAAGCGCGTTCCAGAAATATTTAGATCTTTATTCACTCGTTAGTTTATCTGAATGACGCGAAAGTGCAAAAGTTCATTACCACTTATAGCACGTTTCACATAGATTTTCAACGATCTCAAACTACTCAATTATCTATTAAAGTACGAAACTTTATATTATAAAAATGTTGCCTATGAACTTACACATTAAATTACTTGATCGATCGCGAATTTAATATCCATTTTCATTAACGTTGAGGAATTACCGAAAAGTGAAGCTGCCTTCCTATTTGCCCTCGCGATGGCGCGAAATACAAATTCCTCGAACGTCCGAGGAAAAAGCAAGGAGAGTAAGGTTCTCGCGAGGCCCTCGTACGTTGTTAATTCAGCCAAAGGAATTTCGACCAAAGCTTGGTCTTTGTGTATTCGTAATTAGCTGGAACCTCGAACGTTCGACGCGATTCTCAATTAGGGTCTCTCTCTCTCTTGTTTCGTTCGCGAGACGACCACGGCTCGGCATTTAATTCAACCCTGTGTAGCAGCTGTCTCGGGATCAATTAAGGATTAGAGCACGGGTTAAGAAACTCTTTCTTTCCTTTCTTCCCGTTCGCTTCGTCGATCGAGGTACATTCAGATGAGAGAAACTTGAAGAAGAGCGATCCATGCGATCGGAGATATATATATATATATATATATATATCGTTAATTGACCGGGTTTTGCAATTAGTCGAGTGAGTGTTTCGAACCAAAGAGGACCAAAACCACCATGCCAGACGCGTTCTGTCTCTGTCACTTTTCGATTAGTGATCCATCCATCTCTCTGTTAATTGCCCGCCAATGGAATAACAAAGAAATCTCGACGCTTCCGAGAAGTGCAACTGTAGCAGTCGTGCAGCTGAGAGTCGTGCGTGGAGCAAAGCTAAAGTTTGTATTTCCCGCGGCGATGCATTATTTCTAACGGAGACACTCCGTGCATGCAAGTGGTCGCGATCATGCTTGTACGCGCGTTGGTTAATTAGCGAAAGATCAATACGCAGCAATTCTCTCCCGGGATGAAGTGAACTTCGTTCGAAAAAGAAGATTAGCTAGCGGGGATTAACGAAGCAATGGCGCGCATGCGCGTGCAATTGGACGATCCCGCGCGAAACGTTTTGACTTTTTGGAAAAGAAAAAGAAAGTTAAGTCTTCGACGATCGATCCGCCGCTCAGAAAGCTGGCGTTCCGTGTTAAGGCATTCCGAAGCAGCAAAACGAGCATCAATCCTCCCAGTGCCGATGAAAAGCAAATTCCGAGCGAAAAAAATTACAAAACAAATCGACAAGTTTGACAAGGTTCGATCAAACTTTGAACGATAATTTGGAAATTGAAATTGACAAAATTGATGAAAATAAAAATAGAAAAAAAATTCGAAAAAGAAGAAAGAATCGCTGTGTGTTTCAAAAGATAAATAAATGATCAGTATCTCGTCTTGACAACGATATATTGTTCTCGGCAGTTTTTCGCAAGGTGTATCGTTGCTCAGCACTGAAAGGATAATACAAACGGCGATACAAATTAACATGCATACACAACATCGAACATCGAGAAGCGAACGACAAAAGTAAATTAGGCGAGGGAAAATTAAAAAAAAAAAAAAAAGAAAATTGGTTTCGAGGGACCCAGAGAAAAGGGAGAATAAATAAATAAAGAAAGAAAAAGAGAAGCAAGCTAGAACGACCACGTGTAACTACGATTAAACGGGGTGACTGTCACAAAACTAAAAGAAAAAAAAGAAACCATACGAAAGAACAAAGGGAATCGGACAGTGAGTGGTGTTAGTGGGAACAACCTGAAGCGTAATTATATACCCTGCTTGTTCTCCGTCGTCGTTTGGTCAGCGAGACTTCGAAAGAGAAGAAAAGAAAAGGAAAAAAAAAAAAGAAGAAAAAATAAGAAAGAAAAAAAAAGAACTCGACCTACTCGCAATTAACAGTTACCCCGATCGAATGAACGATCGGTCAATTCAAACGATCGCTCTCTGATTGTTCGATCGACGATCCGCGAATTTCGGTTTCATCGTGTGTGGGGTCTCCGGCGTGTTTGCGAACGAAGGACGGAGACATGTGGCGTGGACGCCGGTCGATCCCGAGTCACCGACACAGGGGGTATAACGGAGCTGCGAATACCGGAAGAATGTCGATTGGCGACCGTACGGTACCGAAGAGAATGAAGGACGACGGGAGGAGAAGAAAGAAAAGCAGTTCTGCAGGATGAACACACAGAGGACGGAGGGACGAAGGAAGGAACGAACGTGTACGACTCTGGGACGAAAGCTTCGGGGGCCGCAAGAACTGAAGAGCAGAGAGAGTAATAGTAGTAGAAGAAGAAGAATAAGGGTCGGTCCACGTGGGAGTCGAGACCGGTTTTCTCTGGCATGCGTTTTCTGCTTGACGAAGAAAGAAGAAAGAAGGAGAGGTGTACGGTTGTCTGTGTACACATATATACGCCGTGCGAGCCGAGGTCGTACGGCGAATCAAACGATTACGCGATCGTTTCGACGACGGCGTCAGTGATGACGGCTGATGAGGTGAGGTTGTCGAATTGAAGGTCTGTTAGATAAGAAAAAAAAAAAGAAAAAAAAAGAGAAAAAGAGAGAAGACGGGGGAAGAAGAGGGAGAAGCAAAGGGAAGGGGTGTTATCGATCGAGAGAGAAGTTCTTTGGTGTTACGATGTCCCTACCTTATCTAAACCTTCAAAAGAACTTAATGTCAATGTCGCCGGGTCTGCTCTTATGATAGGTATATATGTGGGTCATCAGGGAGTTACGCGAGCAGTATACCCGCTCGCAGATGACGCATCTGTACTCCTCCTGTCGCTCGGCGTGCTTGTCGGCAACGTGGCGTTTCAGGGATGCTTTGCTGCATAGCACCTTGCCGCACAGCTGGCAGGTGAACAGCTTCTTCGCTGACTGGGTGTTCAGAGAGTTCAAGGTCAGCCCCGTCATAGAGGTGAGCACTGAAACACAACAATGCACCTCATGCAGCTGCAACCCCCACACTTTAAAATCCCTATCCCCCAATAATCCAAAAGGATGACGCAAGCTGTAAAACTTCTCTCTTTCTCTCTCTCTCTCTCTCTCTCTCTCTCTCTCACTCACTCTCTCTCTCTCTTTCTCTTTCTGTTCCATCAACGACTTCCCCTCTCGTTTTTTAACTTTTCCTCTTCTTCCAAGATGTTTTCCTGTTTTCTTTCCTTGGTTTCTTTCTTTCTCTTTAACCCTGCTACGTTCTTTCGGTAATTTCGAGGCCTTCAACGATGTCAGAAGTATTATTATTTAATGTCAACAGATTCGTGTGTTCTAATACTACAGGTGTACAATAAGAATGATAATCAACTAGGCTCGATACACATTGTATCGTCGTACTAGAAAGGATGTATCGAACGTACAAGTGATGTCGACAATTAGTACAGACAAGTACAATCTACTTGGACCAAGTATTATAAATCTAAAAGACTCAATTTTAAGGCAACGTATCGAAACATACAAGTTCAAGGATCGTAGCAGAGTCAAACTCGTTCCCTGTTCTCTCCTTTCAATTATCAATCTCTCCACTACCCCGTCGCTCGTGCTCGTATTCTTCCAGAACGGCGCGGCCAAATTGTCACGAACGAATGCGAAACGTTGTCAGGAAACCTCGAGAAATCGCGTGCCTCGGGTAAGTTCGGAGTAAAAAACCTCGGAATAAAAGACGTAAAAGACGCGTGGAAGAAAAAACGAATTCGACTTTCTCTCTTTCTCTCTATCGCGCCCCTGCAAATTATTCACCGGCAAGTTCTAGCTCTCGTTTGTATAATACGAAATCCAGGATTCAATGTCTCTTTTCAGGCTTCTTGCACGACCCGCGAACTCGACTCTCCTATCGACAATCGCATCGTAAACGATGTCCGCGGACGCGACGTCACCGGGAAAGTGTCCGGCCTCGGCCCATCCCATCGCGCGCGCGAGACGCCGTTCATTTTAAAACGTCGCGGAATTAAAAACGGGGCGCGCTACGAGACGCGGGGAGAGAACAAGGAGAGGAACATTTGGAGACAGAGAGGTATAAATTGTGGCGTGGAAACACTTCCGACGACGTTTCAAAATGGCCGGTCGCCTTTCCCGGAGGGAGGGAGCGAAGTAAGAACTTTCAATGGCAGTCTCTTTCTCTTTTCGAACCGCCGACGAAACCTTCGCCGCGTCCAACTAAAGCCACCAACCGTGGGTTTTAAGACGTACGCGCGCGAGACAAGCGCGAACAACTCCGTGTCGCTTCAGCCCTGTCGGCTCTATTGCAACATTGCAGCGTATGCAATTCAGATGGAAGAAGATCGAGATTCGAGCGAGGGGTAAATTTCATAGAGAGAGATAGGGAAGAGAGGAAGAGAGAGAGAGAGAGAGAGAGAGAAGAGGAAGAAAGAAAAACATGTACACTGCACGGACACGGAAACGAATTAAGCGTCAATATAAGAAGACGAACGAGAGCGAGCGAGCGCGCGGTTCATTTGTAATGGCCGCGTGCTCGTTAATTAAAAAAAAAAAAAAAAAAAGATCTGGTCAGACGGAGAAGCCTTGTGTGCGCGATGCAACCTATACGCGTAGTATAATACGGTATCTGCCCTTTTTTTCTCTTCCTTCTTCCTTCACCCTTTAGCCATCGAACGCGAATGGAGGCGAGGCCAGCCCCTTCGTTCAATGCCTTTGGCTGGAAAAAAAGCTTTTTATCCAATTTCTCGAGCTACGTCTCGTTAAACTTCGAGCAAAAGAAATTGCGAACAGCCTCGGTTGATGAGGTCGGTACCGGTGAGGATCTCGATGGATTCGTATTCGTATACGTGTACACGTGCGCGTAACACGCGCGCAAAATGTGCACATACAGACACACACACACACACATACACACACGCACACACACGCACACACGCACGCACGCACATATATTCATATGTGGGGTTTACGCTCACAGAGCCGATAAGAGAAGAGAAAGGGAATAAATGCAGGGACGGTTGTACGCGTGTGATGCAACGTGGATAAACGGAGAATGGATTGTACAAAAAATTGCGTACTCCTTTCTGTCCGATCTAAAATATAAGAATGTACATGTGTATATATATACATATATATGTAAACACTTTCCAATCATTCTAGACAGATACATGGCACGTACGTACGACGTATGTTTCGTTAAGGGTCGCACGCCTTTCGAAACGTGGAACTGATGAGGACTCGAATGAAATTAAAAAAGAGTGGCGGGGAGGCGAGGGAGAGGGTGGGGAAAACGTGAAAAAAAAAAACACGAGAAGAGAAATAATAGGAGACGACGAGAAGGAAACACTGAGCATTCTGGATGACACTTAAAGCATGCAATTTCGAAGTAAACGTAATAATATGCGTGAGCCTGGCGAGCGGCGTGGCGGCTTAATCGTTCTCTTGTGTATTTTTTCTTTTCCTCCTTTTTTTTATATAGTATTTCCTTTCTTTCTATTTTATTTTTTGCACACCGCGAATAGCCCTCGTATCTCTCACGGTCGATCTCGTTCGAAAGTACGCGAGAGTGCAACGTATGTATCGTCTCTCGGACCGTCCATGTGTAGTCTCCGCATGTGTAGCCTCTCTCGCCCGTCACGATTGACAAGAACGAGAATGCGAGAACGACTTGCCAACGAGCCGCAAGGAGAACAATGACACACGCGCGGTTTCCCTCCTTCGGAGAAACCCTTTTTCTCCGCTGTTTCTGCTGCTGAAGAATCGTTCTTACTTCGATCTCCACACGTACTATGCATGTATGTACACAACGTCAGACAACGTCGACCTTTCGTCTGAAAAAAAAACGTGAGACAAGCGTTCACCCGCGACGTGTTCGCGTCCACCACGTGGAAATGATGACCGGCGAGAAGCGTGAACGGAATCGGGCTCGCGATTTGCTCGAGGGGGAGGATTGTTGAAGAATCGCTAAAACTCCAGAACGGTGTCGTTCATTTCTTTTTTCCCCAAGCTCTCGAACGTTCACGCGTGGCAACTTACCTTCCAGCTGAAAGAAAAAGGCGTGACACGATGCACTGACGGTGTTGTTTTTCTCTTTTTTTTTTTTTTAAGGTTCGTTTGTGCGGAACACGAGCGGAGGTGATAGGAGTAGGAAAGCGACGTACAGCGAGGAACATGACCGAATTGGCTGCCGCAGGTTTCGTACAAATCTTTTCTCATCGCCGTTAATATTAAAATGCACGGAAAATTAATACAGTGGAAACATTTCGGGACAATTGGATTTTAATATTTCGAATGTCTTTGATATTATTTGTATATAATTATGTTTTTGATCGAGAAGAAAACGTTCACTGTCAGAATAAATCTTGTCGAACTTTATGAAATTCATTTCTTATCAAATATTCAAGAATCGATTGTTCAAATTTTATAATATACAGATTCTCAACATATTCCTTTGAGAAACATTCACTATATCTGATCAATTTTGCTTTGTAAAATATCTTAAAAAACAAATATATGCACTGATTCAGTAACATATGTAAGTAAAATGAAATTCAACGAATATTTCTCGTTGCAGGCAAATAAGAAATATTCGCAATCTTGAAAAATTGCGGAAACTGGCGTGCAAAATGTTCCTGCAAACGTACATCTTTTTTCGTATATCTCGATATTAACAGCAACGAGGAACGATTTATACGTAAAATCACTGATTCAGCGATGCTCGTCGCTACAAGTACCTGCGTGAAGTACGACAGACCGCTGTGTTATCAGTTTGTTCACGTTGTCGAGGATGATAGGTGACTAAAAAAAAAAAAACGAAGTGAGAAGAAGAAAAAAATGAAGGAAAAAAGAAGAGAATACAAGCGAATTATTAAACCAAATAGTACATTTCATATCATATAAAAAGAAAAAAAAAAAGAAGATTGTGGTGAAAATATATTAAGATGCATTTGACATTGCTTAAAAATAAAAATAATAATAACTATAATTATAATAATATAATAATATTAATAATAGTCATCAATAAATATATATTATAACCAGAACACCTTGGCAGATAACAAATAATAAGCAAGCACGGTAACGCTCGACATTATTTCGCTTATCATAAGAAGAAACACGATTTGTACCCGAAAAAAGATCGGAGTCGTTACCGGAAAGAATTCAGCCTTTTTTTTATATTTCCTTTTATTCCATGCTCTCCCCGGATGTTGTATGTCTGTCTGTTTGTTTGTTTGTTCTTTTCTCTCTTTTTTTTTTTGTTCGTTTTTCCATGGTGTTTCGAGCCTATGGCACCGGTTCTTTCGTTTCTTTTATTTCTCAATACAATTTTTACATATTTGACGAATTTTTTTTTTTCAAATAAGCTCGTTTTTTCTCAGTGCTTTGCTGCTCCTTTCTTCGCTATATATTCCTCGTTCTCTCTCTCCCTCTCTCTCTCTCTACTCCTCCCTCACATTTTCTCTCTCTCTCGCACGCGCTTTCTCTCTTTCTCTCTCTCTCTCTCTGTCTATAACTTGGAATTACAAAATAATTCTATTCAACGGTATCGCGATGTGTATATCGTTCTCTCGCACAGGTAATGATATCGTCGATGATATATATATATATATATGTATGTATATATCATGTGTGTCTGCTCTCAGTATTCGTGGGTGATCTCGCTCTAATTTAACTCTATCGTTAGGGTAATCGAACAAAATTAGCGGCTCATTCGTTTATTTATTTGATGAAAGCTTGTGTGTTGTACGAAACTGCTGCTTGCTTGCTGCGTGTCTTCTCTATTGTATAATTAGCTGCTTGGGCGTTAAGAAAAAAAAAAAAAGAATCCTAGCGTCTCTATTGCGTAAGTCTACGGGGGAATAATAATTACAAGAAGTACAAAAAAAAAAGAAAATGAAAACAAATAAAAAATACAGAAGAACCTAGACTGTGTGTGTAACTATGTATGTAATATAAATGTGCCTCTTACCCATGACCATAATTAAAAACAGTAGTATGTAACGTGTCTGTGCGCTAAAAGCCTATCGTGTACAAGAAAAGAAAGAAAGAAAAAAAGAAACGACCAAAAAGACGAGAAACGAACGAAGGAAACGTGGATTATATTATGTCAGATATACCGAAAAGCGATAATGGAAAAAGGAAACGTAACTCCTTGTGTATGTATACGTGTGTATATTTCACATGTACGTACGAACGAACGAATATTGAAATATACGCGTTTGCCGCCGATTCTGTTACATCTAACGCACGTGTGTGTTTGTGTGTGTGTATGTGTGTGTGTGTGTACTGCTACGCGTTTTTTTTTTTTTTGTGTTTACTTTTTTTTTTTTTTTTTTTTTTTTTTTTACTTGCGTTCATTCAGAGATGTAAACTCGTACGAAAAATCAATGTCTACTGATATTATAATTTGACAGAATAACGATAGTAATAACAACAACAGCAACGACGAAACTTGGAAATATTTGCACGACCTAGTTTTTTCCGATGATCCAGGATTAAACGCTTTTCATCGTCGATTCGCGAATATTTTGCAGAAGAGAGATGCGAATGGTAAAAGTAACGGGCACGAACGATTTATCGAGAGCGACGCAATAAGGAAATTACGAGGACTCGAGGATTTATCGAATCTTCTCAGCTCGTTTCAGAACGTAACGTCCGGCCGAGAGAGGACGGATTGCGATAAAAGTGCTCGGCACTGTAGCGAGTTGTAATGGAGTGTGATTGATAACGCTTTGCTCTCCTCGATCAGATCCAGTTTATCATTGTTAACGCGGCCAGACAGACACGGACACGTGTTCCCTCCAACTTCGAATGAATTTTCTCTTCCACCAATTTTTCTCTTTGAACGTATTCCCCGAACGTTGTCATAACATTTTTCTACAAACAGATATTATCGTTTCTGCAACGAAAGAAAGTAACACGATTTATTCTCGGACGCAAAAAAGTTTTGTATAAAGTTCTTTGTTTACTTTTTGCGTGTAGAATCGAGTGGACACGTTCGATTTTAAAATTTTAGAGTTTACGTCTAATTGGTAAATGGATACGAGATTTTTCCCGAATCGTTAGAAGTATGATTTTAAAAAGTTAATTTATCAGAAAATCGCGTTAATCTTCGAATAATAACGCCAACGCACGATGCGATTATTAATTTAAAATTGGAAGGGACTGCAACGACCCCGATAATCCACTTAAGGGTTAATTATAGTACGTACTGTAATTTACTGGCGTATTGTCGAGCATCGATATTGAAAGCGAGTTGAACGGTGAATTTTTTATTCATCTCTATAGGAGGTCTTAAAGCAAAAGACAAAAAAATAAAATGCTGAGAGGTTAATAGGGGAAACAATTTTCTACTTTCAGTGATTTCATTCTTTTAATCCTTGAATGGACTTTCGATTTTTGTATAATAACTGCAGCTTATATTTAATTTATACCAAATTGATTGAATGGAAATAAAATTTCCCGCGTATCATTTATCAGAAACATAATTTTAGATATTAATCTTCAAATAATAACATCAACACACGATTATTAATTTAAAATTGAAAGGGATTGCAACGATGCCAATTGTTCACTTAAGGGTTAATTACAGTATATACTATGGCATATCGACATTGGAAACAATGAACTTTTAACCACATCTATAAGTAAAAAAGAAATTTTAAAGTAAATTATAAAATAAAGAATATTAGAAAGAACAATGGGGGAAAGAATTTTCCATCGTGGTCTTTTTAACTCTCAACTTAACTGGACTTTCAATTTACTTAAGTTTATAATAATTGAAGCTTATTCAATTAATTGTCAAACAGAAATAAAAATCCCCCTAGAAATAATTTTAGAAGTTACACGAATCTTTAAACAGTGACGCAATTATCAATATAAAGCAGAATTATGAATCGAAATAAATTATTAATTTCAAATTGAAGGAGACTGCAGTTAAGTCAGTTGAGTTCCTTACTAAAACGTGTACACACTCTGAAGCCTCCGTAGGAATTTTTCATCAAAATCGTGGTGGCATTCGGTAAAAACCGGTAACAACCCCTTCTTCGACGTCCGTTCGGACGTTGCAAGACCGTGAAATCGGGGATCAGCGAGCCAGAAGGAAGATAAAATCCCCGATTCGTACCTCGCCTCGTTAGATCAGAACGACGCAATTAACAACGTCGATACGATCGACCGAGCACGGATATTCGAAAGAGGCGGAAGGTGGAAGATGGTCGCTTCCTTTTGTCTCGTTCTTGACTCGATCTGAAAATTTCACCGCGAAATTGTCCTTTGCGACGCGACGTATAAAACGAGAATATTGAATCGACGCCGATTGCCTGGGAGCGCACAGTTCCTCTCGCAGGTTAGTTGGTTTCTCCCAAACCACCCCTCCGCGTCGTCCTCTATCGTTAGTGAGAGAAAGTTCAGCTTCCCTGGTTATCTTGCCACCACCCCTTCCCCTCCCACTCCCTATCACCCTGTCTGTATTGACGATTTCAGTTGCCAGCTAGGACAATTTAGATCCAGTCGGGCGATAAATGGCTCGCGATTGAATAACGCCTTGATTAAACGCGATTCCCATTTCTGATAATTCGCCGCGCCTTTTATCTCGAGAGAGAGAGAGAGAGAGAGAGAGAGAGAGAGGGAGTTTCGCGCGAATTTTCCTCGCGATAAAGTGCAGGAATTTCAAAGATGCCCGCGGATAGTTGGATTTTTTGCCCGAGTAGGGGATTTATTGGCAATGAATTAACGAGTGTTCTTCGAGACGTGCTTAACGCTTTCGATGAGGGTTAGTTTGGGTTAGTCGTTGAGAAATATATACCTCGGCTGGCGGAATGAGTTAACTTGCAGAATTGTCGTAGAATTTGAAGAATTTTTTCAATCTTTAAAATTGATCGAAGGGTTAACGTTACGAATTACTCAAATATAAAGTTCGAAACACGAATGTGAAATTTGTGTTAGAGGGAAATGAAAATGTAATGTTTTTTTTTTTTTTTAAATGTGAAATATACTTGAAGTGTAATATAATTTAAAATATAAAAGTTGTATTATTGTTTGAGAAATGAAAATATAGAAGAATTTATTCTTTTCGGAGGATAATTTTATAAAAATTTTCTTCCTTTTCGCTTTTTGAAGAAATCTTTAAAATCCAGTCCACATAATTAATTTCATGACAGTATCATGTAAACATCCACTATATTCAGTCACACAGAATCCAATAAAAATTGGCACTTGAGTATTTTCGTTGTTTTCGAAGATACAAGAAATTTTGCGAAAAGAAATTGTTCAGCATAGAAAAGACTACATTATTATTCTTGTTCCTCATACAATAACTTTCGTAAAAACTTAAAATTAAAATATCTCTTAAACTAGCTAAATTTTACGACACACTTTTATAGAACTCCATTGATTAATGCACAAAAGAAAACATATGATTCCACTTTAAAGAAATGGAGATTCCACTTTTAACAAATTATTACTGAATTATTGCTGAACAATTTTCGTTCAAAATCAGTAGTGTTTCTACATCCGCAAAAGCAACAGAAGTATTCAAGTGCTAGGCAGAGACATTCATGTTTCTCATCGAAGCATTCTGTAGATAACAATGTGATTCGGAAGCAGTCAGTCGTGAATATTTATTATCGTTCTACCCGCAGAGATCATTCATTTTGACAAAGCTTCGTAGTAAACTGCACGTTGCACAACGTAACCATCGAGTTTATTGATCTTCGTCGTCACAATTCGATTCCAACGACAACCAACGACGGATATAAAAGTATGTAAATATTAACATACACTTACGATGAGGCGGTGACTCGCCGGTGATGGAGGCGATGCGAGGCGCGTCCTCGCTGATCTCGATGTCGGCGGACTTCCGGTAGACATCCGCGATAGAGGCGGTGCAGCGCAGATGCAGCCGTCCATTTTGAAACATGTTGTCCGTCACCTTGAAGTCTATCGTCGATTTCGACACCTGCGAGTCGTCGTCCTGCGGAATGGCCAAGTATCTGGTTCTGTGCACCACGCTGTCGTTCGCGATCTGGAAAACATGTTCAAGCAGAGAAGAAGTTCAATTCTCGGTCACTGTCGTTAAATTACAGATCGTCGAATGTTTATTTATATTAATTTCGTATATTCACAAATGTAATTGGACAATCGACGATTGAGAGGATTCCAAGTTTAGGTAAATTTTACGTACGTTTGAATTTCTTTTCTCACTGTGAATAGGAAGAGACACTGTGAAATTGTGACGCTTTGGGATTAAATTGTCCTAGGTGGAAGATTGTATTATAATAATAAATAGTATATATTATAATACTCATTATATATATATATATATATATATATATATATATATATATATTATAATACTCGTTTATTAATATTATTATAAACTCTCTCTATTATATATATAATAAAGAGAGTTTATAATAATATTAATAAACGAGTATTATAATAATAAATAGAATTCTATCAAACATTATAATTGTATACAACAGGTGCTTTAGATCTTTTGTATAAGAAAGGTGTCTGATTTTGATCTATAAATACAAATTACTGATAATCTATTTGTTATACGAAACATAGTTCAAATAAGAGATGAATGGTTTCAAAAAAGTAACAGTCTGACGTGAATAGTTTCTTTGTCAGTTAATAGATCAAAAAGATTATTATATGACTTCAAGCATTCGTCTACAAGAAGACTATTTACCTGAAATTGTAACATTCTTGAAATCATTCATTTTTGATCCGAAATATTTTTCATGAAACAGATAGTAATTTATATTTGTAAAATTAGACACCCTGTATAGTTTTATATATTATTCTGTAGAGTTTCGTACATTTAAACTTTGTTACGAACGCATAAAAGTCCTGATGGTTTAAAATAGATTTCCATAATTTTGGAATATTTCGTTTTGTTTTACACGAAAGTTATTAATAATCCTCGTATATTTTCATCGCGCTGCAGTGAGATAATCCGGCGTAAATCGAATTCAAACGCTGCTCACTTATGACTGAAAAAAATATCACCGGAGGATAAAAATCCAAGCTACTGAAAGCACAAGCTACCAAAGGATATATATAGATCAAACACTCTTTACGGCGAGTTCAACTGAAAATCAAGACACAAAAAGTTTTAATTATTCCTCGGCAGAGTTATTTTCTTCTTTTGTCTATCGTCGAGAGAAGGGAAGAGACACGGTTTCGTGGGACTTTTTTCGTTCTCTCACGGAAGATTTAATTAGAAAATTACTTCGCCGAGATATCGCGGTGATGTTTGCGCGTAAACAATGCAAGAAAACAAGCGTGCACGTCAAATAAATATTTAGTGGGCAGAAAATGAAACAGATTAATTCTGAAGCTCGTCTCGCAACGCACGCGTATACTTTCGCGAAACGGCTGCGTATAAAGCACGAAATTATTATTCCGTGTTCGCGCCAACCCCCAAGAGGACCGCGCCATCGTCAGAAATGCGACAATGATTTCGTGCTTGGAGAGTATCCTGTATTTTTGTGTGACGAACAGCTTTACCTCCAGTGTGTACGCAGACAGCTTTATTGTTCTGTTAAATTTCCACTTGAAATTTCATTACCAAGATTTTCTTATTCTTTTTCGGGGACTAATATGAAAGAAATAATTGTCTTTCTGTGCTCTTTACAATTATAATACTTCATTTATATAAGATATCATTTCTTTACTTTTATATTTTTTTACAATTCACGCGTGTGCGGTGTATTGTATACACTTTACATGCGTGTATAAATATGAAATTTTACGTATTTACGATATATATTTACAAATATCACTATATAACGTGTATATAAATATATGTACGTATATTTGTATATAAAAAATATTTAATTATGTAAATATACTTTTTTATATTATAAATATGTTAAATATTTTTTTGTATACTTATTAATATGTTAAATATTATTAAATATTTTTTTGTATACTTATCAATATGTTAAATATTATTAAATATTTTTTTGTATACTTATTAATATGTTAAATATTATTAAATATGTTAAATATTTTTTTCTTCCTTGAGCGAAAATACCCCAAAATAAGTACCATTTCTTTACTTTTGTATTCTGTACAATTAACAGTATATCTGTGTGTGTGTGTGTGTGTGTGTGTGTATATATATATATATCATGACATAATATGTATACAAGTGTATGCATATATTTATACATAAAACATGTGTATTTATATACATATATAAAAATAACTGCTTTTCTCTGAAAGTATCTTCAAACAAACACCATATCCCTAGTTCGATCAAACATTAGTACCTTCTCTTCCAGTTTACTTGACAGACATAGTCTTAGTATCAGCATTGTCAACTCCTTCGCGTCTCTGCAATAAAAGAAAACTCATTTTCAATCCGAGTTTTACCAAAAAGAAATACGAACACCACGACGTAACCATCCCTTTCCAACGCTCGTCTCAAAACAACTTAGACAAACTCGGCTTCGTCGCCGCACTTCAACCACCTGCGAGTGATACACCATTCGAGACACACCATTTCTATCCAATTACTGAATTATTATCTCGGTCCTTTTAACGCCCTTCTGGAAAAATACCACCATCGATCGTCGTCCATCGGGCATTCGCCAGTCAATTCAATTTTTCCGCTGGCCAACGAAGATGACGCGAACCATCGCCTGACAGACATATCTCTCTCTCTCTCTCTCTCTCTCTCTCTCTCTCTCTCTCTCTCTCTCTTTCTCGCAGCGAACGAGAGCAAAGCACGAGAGATGAATCTCGTTCGCTCCTCCTAAAGATATTACGCAGTTTCGTTGCTCTTAAGATAAATGAACGGAGAAGAAAAAGAGCTTCGAACCTTCTTTCTTTCCATTCCCCCCTCGTCGCCATCCCCCTACCGACATCATCGCACTCCTTCGGAGGAGGTTTCCCTTCAGAGATGAACGAAGAAAGGTCAAAGAAACGGACGAGACGAGGCACAAGAGTCACTCGGGGTTATTACTTCGGGGAACAAACGAGGGCCTGTGCATTAAGTCCGCGGACTCGCGATGACGCGATACTACGCGACTTCTGTTCATAAAAAAAAGATAATGCATAATGCTTGTGCCTTGTCGCGTATCACCTCTTTTCCTCTCTCTCTCTCTCTCATTCTCTCTTGGCTCACCCGGTGGATTTGTCGCCCGGATGATCCCGCGGCGGGATGCGATTTCTCTTAGCGGCGATATCGATGTCGCGGCGAGGAAACTTCACTTTTCTGTTCCTGATTTTTATTAAGATCGAACGGTGTTCCTCGATACGACGCTGACACACGATGGTTAATGGCGATGGAGGTTGCTCGTTCCGGGAGATGGCGAATTCTGGTACGACGGGCGCGAGTTTCCCCGCCGGTTTGACGAGACGATGGTGAAAGGATACGCGAGGATTCACTCCCTCGTGATCCAGCGAGAACCTTCGACGATTTTTATCAATATTGCTTTTATTTCAATCGTTTGTCACGTTCGTTACGATTGGACCGCGGATTTCTTTTTATCGAAATTCGAATTTCTTGAAATACAATAAATTGTTTCGCGTTATGAAATGTTAGAGTTCTATTAAATATAGAAATAAAAATTCTCGTAATAAAATTCTCCACAAATGCATAAAAATTCTCAGTTATTAACCCCTTGCGTTGGAATAAGAACTTTTTGTCCCAAAATTGCAATATTTTCTCAGTTTTAAGTATATTTAAGTATAATCCAATAAATAATAAATTCACATACTTGTCAATAATTTCTAATCCAGTGATATCATGCCGACGAGTTCGGAAAGAAAGCGACGAATTATTATGTACGGTTTTTGGTCACTCGTTATGGTCCGCAATCAGTTGCCAGCGCAAGTGATTAACATCGATATTGTTGATTACACAGTTGGATTGCTGTTATTCTTTTTTTAATACTCCTTTTGCTTTCTTCCGTTTCCCACTCTGTTTCTCAATTCTGTCGTGCAAGATTTATCTCGTATAACGAGACGAATAAACAAGTGAAACGTTTCGCCGGGAAATTCTTGAAAATTTAAATTAAAAAAAGTCAAAGAGATATCGTTGCCGCTAGTTACCACGTGCAAAGCTATTTTGAGTAACGATCTCGCAACCGAAACCAGACAAGAGCTTTTGATCCAACCGTGTACTCCAGACAGTGGTTTCCCCCGAGGAAAATGGAGCGTAATCACGAGCCACGGTGATCTCTCGAGGGTATTTCGATCACGTAACACTTCTCATTAATTTCGCTGGCTGACATATAATTAATTCCGGGATAACCCGGACGTGGAATTTCCATCAGTCAATCATTGGCTAGCGGTTCGTTCGAGACTTATCGAATCTCGAGTCGACGACGTGTCAACGTTTCCTAATCTTCTCTGTCGGCTGCGGATGAAATTAACTTCGATATGATATAATATAATATTGCATAGGTTCGTCAATGACTTCACGTGAGTGAATTAGGGAAAATTTACTAAAATAAGTTCAAAGTAAGTTGATTAGATTTGCAGCTAGATATATGAATCACGTATAAACCAGCAGTTTTGTATTTATATTATATATATTTATTGCGCTGGAATAACGTGCCCACGCACGTCGAGAATTGTTTGTTCCAAAATTGTAATATTTTCTCAATTTTTTTTGAGTATATTTAAGTAAAACAAAATGGACAAAACAAATAATAAATTTACTATTCAATAATTTCTATCCAGTGATATCAATACCGACGAGTTCGAGAAGAAAGCGACGAATTATTGTATACGGTTTGGTCACTCGTTATGGTCCGCGAACCAAGTTGCCAGTACAAGTGGTTAAGAGTACCCATAAGTAATGACACTGAACAAAATTTTTATTTCATTTAAGAGACTTAACACGGCTTTAATCTGTAATATAATTTAACACTAAGCGAATTAAATGTCAATATATTTAACTATTAATATAAGTTATGTTATGATAAGTTAAATTATTGTCACTAGGTGGTAACGTTTATTAAATTTGAAAAAAAATGGTTACCTCTAATAGAATATATTTCG